GAGAGCAGCACTATGTATTTTTCAACTCCAGGCTAGTGAGGTTGTGATCTCTAAATAGGTTTTGCCAGGGAGCGCTCTGCTTGCAGCTACAATCTACAAATAGGACATGCAGGACATGGAGCACTCACTCTCTACCTCAATATTTCTTAGAGGAACCCCTGCACACCCCAAAGAGGAGGTGCCTTGCCCCCTGCCAGTATGTGACACATCTGAGCCTTCAATTAAAGCTGGAAGTTCATAGGATGAGCATCACCCCCTATAATTCACCCTCAAAATGATGATACTGAATTCAGAATGAGAGGTGTAAATAATGTTGAAAGGTGGCAAAAATTTTCCTTTGCAATTCTCCACATCTGAAGCATCAGCCTGCATTCCCCTAAGCTTTGCTACCCCAAACAACTCAGTAGAGGTCAAAAATGAACAGAAATAAACAAACAAACAAACAAATGAATAAATAAAAGGGGTACAACAAAAAGGAGGGAGTGCTGCTATCAGCACTGACTCTGGCTTTGGGAGAGTGCTCAGAAAAAACCCCACACAACACAGAGGCAGATGCCTCACATTTTATTTACTTCTGTAATTTAGGTATCTGCAACACCATTTTCTTAAAACAATTTGTATCATATCATTAATGGTGCTTAAAGCTAAGAGTTAAAAATAAAACCTCAGAGTTAAATTTCAGGTAGTTTGTCCAAAAAAAAGCCCCTTTTGACCACAGTTTATTCCAAGATTTCCCATTGACACAATTATTCTAGGATATACATTTTAATTATTCCATTTTAAAAATTTCATCAGGGTTTTCTAGATATATTTTTCCCTGATATAATTTGGAAAATGTTCTATGATCATAGAATCTCAGAATGGTTTGGGCTGGAAAGGACCTTACAGCCCATCCAGTCCCAACCACTGCCATGGGCAGAGGCATCTTCCACTGTCCCAGGCTGCTCCAAACCCTGCCCAACCTTGGTAACAGAGGTAACACCATGGATATAAACCAATGGCTGAGTTTTATTCCCCCAAACAAGATTTAAGAGATGGTATTGAAGTCAAATAAGGGAAAAACATCAATCAAGGTTCATTCTTTGAGAATAGGGGTGAGAACAGCCCATGTTGCTGCAGAGTTCCACAGCCTGCAAGAGGAACCCTCGAAGGGTTGAATTTTTAAGGTGCTGGATAGCAAGAAAGTTTGGACAATCTTGCTCGCTTTTGAAATGTCTGTTTTCTAAATGAGAACCAAGCTTTCAAAATTCAAATCCTAAGTTTTCAGTGGAGGCAAACAATTTCAAAAGTATGTGTTTTTCCATAGCTTTTTGCCATAGCAGCACTGTAACTTCTGTTAAAGACTCACTCTCTGGAAAATATGGTGTTGCTTTTAATATCATTCTCAAATTTAAAAAAAAAAAACAAAAACAAAAATCAACCCACAAAACAAATGAAGAGTTTTGCTGTTGATAGTAAATTTTGCTATAGAACCACAACACCATAACATAAATCTCTTTACCATACAATCAAAATAACCTCCTGCAAAAGGATGCACAACCAAAACATTAAATCAAGCAACCACCTCTTCTCACACATGAGAGGTCTGGTCTCAGTTTAGCAATTACATAAAAGTACAGAATCTAACAGTAAATAATCCAGCATTTCTCTCCTACCAGACACTGAAATCGTCCTGAAACAGTATCTCTGCAGAGTTTTTAATATCAGAGCACAGGAAGGATATGAAAAACTTATCAAGGGCAAATCTCTTTAGCAAACCAGGAAAACACTGTATCTGTCAAATATGAACAGAACAATGAATCATGGATTTGTGTTATGAGTTGTGCATGTCAAAGGTTAAAGAGACTAAGATTCTTAGTGATTTTAAATCTAAATGGCTCCAAATATTTTAGACAATTTACCTCATCTGAATAAAGTCTGGCTTAGTAATGAACAAGGCTATTCATAAGCAGCAACATTAAACTCCTTGCTTGACAGGAGCTGTAGTTACTCTCAATATATAGATTTGTAAGCCCGATAAAAGGTGTGTCTGATATAACCTCATTGAGGTTACAGCACAGCAGAACATTTGCATCCCAAGCTTCTGTCAGCAAGCCAGATGCCTTTGATTACATAAAAACCTGATCAGCATCTTTGAGCAGATTTTTTAGTCTGCAGCACCTCCTTGAAACTAAATGGAAATTGCTCTCTGAGGGCCTCACTGAGGGTTGACGTGGTGTTCTGGCACTGCTTCCTGCTGATCTGTCATATTTCCAGCTCCTTGTATTATTCAGTTAATTTCCTCCAAAAAGAGAAGAAAAACAAAACAAAAACAAAACCAAAAACCCTTTTCATTTCAGTAATATCTAGATGAAACAGTGAGAATGACAAGTGCAAGACTTACTCTTTTCATTTGGGTTATGTTTTAGTGCAATTTCTCTTGGTGGAGGTGAGCTTTAAATATAATATGCATTTCTTTTCATCTTTTTCCAAATTTTTTCATCCCCTATCCCTTAAATAATATTCTGTTGTGTCCTTGTAATACTGTATTGTACCCCTTAAGTAAAATTGCATATTTAACAAAAAAAATATAAAAAATTTCAGTGCATATCAGTAAAAGAAATAAACAGCTACTATTTAGTGCAGTTCTTGCAGTAATTGCGTGGGAGAATACTGGGAATGTTAGAAGGTAACTGGGTAATAAATTACTCTATGCACCATCATAGAATCATTTTGGTTGGAAAAGGCCTTTAAGATCATCAAGTCCCACTGATAACCCATCACAGCCACCTCTGACCTGTGTCACATTTATTTGAATAGTAGAAATAAAATCAAATTTACATCTGCCATCCAGTGCCAAGAAAAAGAGGTGTCAGTGACTGGGGAGGGCTGGACTAGAAAACCTTTGAAGGTCTCTTCCAACCCGAACAATTCCATGACTTTTCTATACCTGAGCACTGGGTGATGAAATCCAAAGTATTTCCAGCAGGGAGATATTAACTCTTAGAGAAAATGGCATTAAAAGCACAATATTTTGTGGTTTTTAATCAACATTATCTCCAGATAAATCAAAAAGTCTTGTAAGAAGTTCTTAGTAAAACCTAGATGGAGACTCAGACCACAGGAGACAGCATCTGTAAAATTAAACCCATGCAGCGTCTGAGATGAGGTGTGAAGTAATTTGGAATATTCTCATTTTCTCCTCTATGTGCCAGAGAAAACACAGCTAAGAAGTTCAGATGTACTTCAAATAAGGTCTAATTACTTCTAGACTAGAATAAAGGTATTAAAATATCTTCAAGGACTATTAAGAAAGAAACATTCAAGCAGATATCAGCTCTAGCAAAAAATCATGGATTTCAGCTGAAAAAAGACATAAAAGCAAAAATTCCCTCTCTTAAATAATATAATGCCATTTTATAAAATACTGGGTTTACAAGAAATTTAAGCTTGTTCTGGAAGACCTACTGAATTCTGTAGTCACTAGAGGTCACTTAAGTTTTGAATCATTCAAATCTGCTGACTTCTAAATCTTCTTCAGAATGCTCCAAGTTTGAGAACTTGCCTCCATGAAATATATTCATTTTAAATAAGGGTACTTGGAATAGATAAGTGAGTGTCTTCCCAAGAAAAATAAGTCCAGAAGTACAGGTCAAAAGTTCTAGATAGGAGAGTGTTTTAAAATATTGAATATGTCATGGTCCTTCCAGCCACAGGTTCATTCTGGTGACACCAGCAATAAAGAATATTGAGATGAAGTGCCCCCAATTACAGCAAAGATTATGTTGGCACTCATTCAAGTCACAATAGAAAAGGGAAAGAAAATCAAGTAGAATGGCTGGACCTTGAGATATTCAGACATTCACTCATCAGGAGTCCTTAAGACAACAGAACAAGAAGTGATGATCAATATTTGAGAGGAAAAAAATTAAAAAGAGAAACAAAACATGAAAAATAAAGGCTTCTTGGGTGTTTTCTGGACCTTGTCTAATATCTATTGCTACTCTGACCTACATTAAAGTCGTTTGTGAGGGATATGCTGCAGAGCTGTCACTACTGCTGCCCCCACACCACATTTCTGGCAATGAAGTCACCTCTTCATTGTTTCCATTTTCAGCAGGATGTTGATGAGGGTGAAGACTAAGCAAAAAAAAAGTATTCCAAAATTATTTTCCTTTTCTAAATGCAAACACAAGACATATTAATGAGTCTGATCAAAGTCAGGGACATGCAGTGTCTCTCCAGTCCTTGATACACTCGGAAGGAGGCAGAGCTGCTGACAGGGCTGGAGGGGATGTCCTGTGAGGAGCTGAGGACTCCAAGCTTGCTAAACATGGGAAAAATTAGGATGAAGGTGACCTCACTACTCTCTACAGAGGAAGGAACATGGTATCTACTGATGGGACATGGGAACAGCTCAGAGCTCCTCCAGATGAGGTTTTACCATACATTCGGAAGTGACTCAGGCCAGAGTTTTCCAGCTAGCTCAAATATAGGTTTTCTTTCTCTGGCCCAAGGCTAGGAGGGGTCTTGGCCAGAACTGCTGTCTGGGTTTGGATTCAGGATTTGAACATGCCAGTTCCCTCTGAGCACAAGTCTATCGACCAAGTAAAGAAGCCGAAGGAGGAACTCTTCTGGGTTATATTTCACAGTTTATTCTTGCAAAGGGAATGCCAGGAAGAGACAAAGGTTTGGGGGTCTGGGCTGCTTCTTTTAACAGGACTTCTTCGGAGGGTGGGAGTTTCAGAAAGAACCAATTATTCTTCACAGCTAGCAAACTTACAAACTTTCTACAAATCAGGGTTAAACAAAATAAGATAATAAATAACAAACACAGACACCTACGAATGCTAGACATTCGAGAGTAAACCTACAAAGGTGTAGGAGGGAACTCCTAGAGGGGACTTGGGAACGCGGGGGGAAAGAGAAGGGGTGAGGGCCCGACCTCGTTTAGATGGGACACAGGAAACGGAAATGCCCCGGGGACCACCGGCGGTCACACTTCACTATAAACCAAAAGGCCGAACCCGCGCGCGGTCCGGGGTCAGGGCCGGAGAAACGCGGAGCGGCCCCGACTGCTGCAAATGACAGCGGCGCTTTCTCTCCGTCCCCTCGGGCTCCCCGCTGTATCCCCGCGGCGGGGCAGACCGGGAGGGGGGCCGACACGCCTCCGGCAGTGGCAGGGACGCAAACAGAGGGGTCCGGAGGAAGGAAACTCCGGCAACTGCGGTAAACCCGGCCCCGGCAGGGAGCGGGGGGGCAGAGGGGAAAAAGCCGCGGCCTGGGGCGGGAATCCTAAGCCAATAGTTACAAATATAAACAAAAGTCCCTAACACCAGTAACATACTAACAACCCTTATCACAACACGGAAGCATTTCTTTCCAAAGAGGATGAGCAAGCACTGGAAGGGCTTCTTAGAGAGGTGGTTGAGGCCTCAGGTCTGTCAGGGTTTAGGAGCCATTTGAACAATGCACTTGATAACAAGCTTTAGCTTGGTCAGCCCTGAACTGCTCATGCACTTGGAGTAAGTGATGGTTGTGCTCCCCCACCGTGGAAATAGTCTGTTCTAGTCTACTGAAGGTCAAAGATGGAGGTGTGAAAATAAAGGAAAATCTATGTATTTTCACTGGAGTCAAAATAAAAGTCCAATTTTTGCTGTACAAAGAACATTGAGACTTCATACGGGCCTAGGATTCTGAGTTCACAAAACAGAAACAAAATTCTGGAGTGATTTTGAGCACTGAGCAAATTCCCTGCCTGGGAGGGCATATCGTCAGTAGGTAAAGTATAAACCAAGTCAGAGCTGCAGGTCCCACTGCCAGCTACAGTGTTTGGCACCAAAGACTGATGTCTTTGACCTTATGAGCAGGTTTTGGGTGCTGCAGAGGGAGTAGTAGGTGCTCCACACAGCTGAGATCCCCTTAGATAGTTTAGATTCTCTCCCCTTCAAGACCTTTCTGGTTGGGTGGCTTCCTGGGATATTTATTGCTTATATAAGATTTTGCCTCATTTATGTAAGATTAAGGACTTCTAGGAATCAGAAGGTGTGAATATGTATGCTTAACTTCCCTATATTTTCTACTCTTATAATGATCAATCTTCCATTTATAGGTAATACTGGTCACATTTCTCACCTCACCTGTCTCTATGAGCTTCACCTTTATTTGATCACCTGGAGATGGAAACAACCTCTCCACCAAAAAAAAAAAAGCAACAAAATGTCACAACCAACATTGTGGGAATCTGGGAATCTTCCACAACTTTCCTGAGGCATCATCAGGGGATTATAAACCCCCTACAAGTTAAAATTTCCAAGCTGACTCCAAGCTGAGTCAGCAGGTGACTTAATGCAACTGCACAAGATGAACCCAGACATCTCAACATCTCCATCTCTCCATTTCCACACTGTCCATCCCACTCCCAGAGCACTGTGCTTCTTGTATCTTTTTCCCCATTTAATGCTGGAGTAGGAATATAAGACTATTAAAATGCCAGTTTTTACAGCTGGAAAATAAAACCCTGCCCACTTGTTAAGTCTATCATCAGTACAGGGTGAGTTCTATGAGCATGATGCCCCTTTAAGGGAGACCAAAGGAAAATATTCAGCCAGATGTGCTCAGTTTCCAGAACTGTCTCATGTGCCTCTACTCTCAGAAAACAAATGCTTAAAAATCAGAAATCTAAGAATTAATTCCACTATTCCACAATAGTGGAAAATTTGTCTCTCCTTACAAAGACAGAGAAGAGAGAGCCTGAATAAGCTGTTAAAATCTATGAATGGACGTGTCAGCCATTCATAAATTCTTTGTGCATTAAACACAGCAAAGAAGGAAATTTATTAAAATACTGATGAAGAACAGGGAGACAAAACATGCAACAAAAGTAAAAATAATCTGCCACAAAAGCCTCCTGATTGCAGAAAATGTAATCCCATAATCAGAGATTTGCAATCCTCATGGCTGGCATAAAGACATTACATTTCTATTGAAGAACAGAGTCTGTAGCAGAGCATTCTTTGTATACAACAGTTTCAGCAAATATAATTGCATATGTATTCAACAAATGTTAATGCCATTCTAAGAAGAATTAAAGCCAGACAGTGTGGGGAGCACAAAGGTCAATCAGAGTCACATTAAAAACATTCTGTTCCATCTTTCAACCATTCAGCAGCCAAGGGAGATCATTGTGCTTTGGAATGAAAAGGGAATGTATGGGGGCAATCATTTCTTCTTGCCATAGACAGAGCTGGTAGTCAGGAAAAAAAAGCCTGTTTAATGGTTTTATTTGCAAGAAAATGCAAGTGAGAAAACAACTGCGCTAAACCACTGTTTGTCCTTGTTATTAAACAAAGCATAATCACTAAACATGGATGCAGAGAGAAAATAACCAAAGTTAGGTCTGGTTTGAGCCTTTACTCATTTCCAAGTCATTTGCTTCAGGTTTGTACAGTTGAGGCTTCTGATCCTAACAGAATAGTAATTTCTTTCACAGTACATCAATTTTTTTTCACTTCAGTAAATTAGAGGGCTGACACTACTTTAGCACTGATTTTACCCTGTAGTCTCATCTCTGGCTCCTAGTTAACCCTTGTTCTATAAGAGAGAAGAAGTCCATCCATAGTCCATCCATCAAGTTTTATCTATTTTTACCATTCTTGAGTTTGAGTAAGGTCACCTTGCTTCAATATATTTTTAATTATAGTGTTGAAATTACAGTGACAGTGGTTGCACAAAGAGACACATCAAGATCAATAGTCAATTTCATCTGGAGAAACTTTGTTCTTCTGTACGATGTCAGATAAAAGAGAATATCCATGGTTACTGCTATTAATATTTATAGTATTCTCCAAAAGGAAAGAAAAATGCTAGACGACAGAACTGGACATTGATTGTTGTACAACCTGTTGTACAGGTTATTGTGCAGCATTAAAAAAAGGTACCTAAAAGTGGGACGGAGAATAATTTGCCGTGTTGCCTATAGCCCAGGGAGCTGAGAAGGGATGGCAGAGTAAAGCTGGTTCATCCAAATGCAGAATATCCAATACTTGCTGTTCAAATTGCTTCTTCCAGTGCTCTCCTTCTGAAGGACAGGGAGATCCAACAGTTCTGCAAGAGCACGAGGATTTGAGGATACTGAGGGCAAATGCCCAACCCAAACCAGGGGTTTCCTCCCTCCCATGCTCCAAGATTTGCTTCATGTCAGTGAGTGAATGTGCTTTGTCCTGTGAATTTGGGCTGAAGCAAAGGATGAACCCCCAGCTCACAGGGACACAGCTCAGGAACCCTCAATGTCTACATGGGATGGAGGGAGGAGTGAAAGTCTGGATAATCCCTCAGCTCCATTTGCTTGGCCTCTGGCTCTGGGCAAGTTCTTCCACTGAAGGCAGAAGATCCATCCCCCCAAAACTTTAGGGGTTGTCTCAGTGAGGGCCAGCCCTGAGTTTCCCTCCTGTCCACCAGGCTGGGATGGTGACATGAGGCACACAAAGGTGCACACTGAGCTGTCTGGATTAGAGCTGCCACTGCTTAAGGCATTCAAAAGGAGGATTTTATACATATTTGCCTTTCTCAGGTCACAGAGAATCATTAAAGTTGGAAAAGATCTCCAGGATCGTCCAATCCAGCCTATGACTGATCCCTCTGGTCACTCAGCCCAGAGCTGTGAGTGCCATGTCCAGGCCTTCCTTGGACTCTTCCAGGGATGGGCACTCCAAACTTTCCTGGGCAGACCCTGCCAAGCCCTGACTCCCCTTTCTATGCAGAAATTGCTGCTGTTGTCCACCCTGGGCCTCCCCTGGCCCAGCCTGAGGCCATTCCCGCTCCTCCTGTCCCTGTTCCCTGGGAGCAGAGCCTGACCCCCACAGCTGTCCCCTCCTGACTGGGACTTGTGCAGAGCCAGAAGGGCCCCCTTTTCTCCAGGCTAACAGATTTCACTGAGGAAATCTGCCAAGTCTCTTTTATCACTGTATAAATACCTCAATCAGAACAGGGTAACTGAAGACTGGCACAAGTTCACACAAACGTCCTGAAGCCAAAGCTGTTGCTGCACCCTGGCCAGGAGTCAGTGCTGTGGAACAGGTGGGGACTACAAAAGAGACAGAAAACAAAGATTTTGAAGAAAATACAAAATATTAATTCCGTTCTAGGAGTGATTTGGTTTGTTGGGGTTTTTTTTAATATGAAGCCTGTGTTTTAGGGAATGCTGTGCCCCAGTGGGGACAAGTGTACTGGATGGGTGGCACCAGGCAGCTAAAATGTGTACACCTGCTCTAATGCCATGTGCTAGGAACAGGCCAGGCATCCTTGGAAACTCTCCTTTCAGTGGGTGGATCTTAGCAATAATCATGAAAAAACAACAAGCACAAGAGTTCTTTTGCTCAGAATCTGATGGTGGTTATTTATCCATCCTTCAACACAAGCTTCCATAATTGCCTAGAGTGTTTTACAGAGGGTTTTACAACAGCACCACTGCTGCTCCCTCTTGGAAAGACTGCAGGATAAGCAGCTCTGGGTTTAGCAACACAGCTCAGCAATGAAGAACTTTGTCTTGGAAAGTCTTGGTTCTGTGGGAGCTGTACCGCCAGTGGGATTCAGTGATTTTGCCTCATTCAGTGCTGTGAGCACAGATGACACATTTTCCATGCATACACACAGTACATGTGTCACAGGCAGCTAAGGCAAAAATGGCTTGGTTTATTTACAAATATATCTTGAGCCAAGAATATAAATAAATCATTGACAGCAGATACCTGCCCAAAATCTCTTCCTGCATTAATAAATGCCTCATTCTCAGTACAGATTGATTCTTTCTCCAAGAGCTAATTCTAATAAAAGAGATAAAGGTGGAGAAAACTTCTATGTGTAGTCCTACTGCGTCTCTCCAGTGACTCCTGAGTTAGGCTGAAATGTATTGTTAGCATGCTTTCTGGGAAAAATCAAATCTCAGCAGAACACAAGAAATACTTGTAGAACTCTGAATAACAGGGCCACTCACATCTCCTGACACAGGAATGTGAAGTTGGGGTGGAACAGGAGTGAGTGACAAATGATAAAGGCAGTGGCAGGAAAGGAGACAAGCAGCAAAAAAGCACCAGTGCTAGGGGACAAACCCGAGGCTGGTGACAAACAGAGGTTTGTGTCTGGCTCTGGAGAGGAGGCTGGGAGAGGAAGGGAAAGGCAGGAAAAGTGAGCTGTGCTGGCTCTGGCTGTTTTCCAGGGCTGCTGATCCCAGGCCCCACCATCCCAATGCAGACAAAAGGTCAGAGAGGAAATAAAATCAGGCTTTGGGGAGACTTCTTTGTGTTTTCAGATTTATAAAGATCACAGAGTCACAAGAAGTAATTGGCATTATGGCACCTAATAAATCTGACAGCACATAGCAGTGCTGGGCACAGATCCTGAGAAGAATAATCCCACTGAAGAATGATTTTCAGTTGTCAATTAGACACTACTCAGGTACAGCAGCGGGGAACAGAGAATGTTTATTTTCGCTCTCATCTTTGTAACTGATATGCCAAACTTTAAACTTCAGGCAAGTTTATTCATGAATTAGTCTGCTTTGCACTTTTAACAAGCCCATTTATAGTGTCATTTCTCATTCACATTTTCTTCTGTACATTGCATGGAAAATCAGAGCAAATTTCAGCTCATGGGCAACACCTGTTGCTGCTAAACAATTAAGATTAAAATTTGGATGACTTTCAGATTTGGGGACAAGATGTTGGTGAATTTTCATCAGTTCTTAAAAAAATTATGGTGGATTTTTTCTCAATTTTCTGTGAAAATACATTAATATATATTTAATTAGCTCCTTTTATTACTGAATATCATTTCTTTTCCCCCCAGAAGGTGTTTATTCCTTTTTACAGGACAAGAAAAGAAGGGACCTTCCAAGTTTGATGCCTACATTCCAGTCTCTAACCCTTTTGTAATTTCTATTTATTATTAAATTTTACCTAAACCCTTTTTTATTCCAAAGGTATTACATTAGGAAAACAATACATGCACTAAATAGATTTCCATTAATCAAGAATAAAACCCTTCAAGCCTTATTTCAATATCCCTGATTATATCAATTGAACTTCATTAACTTTTGAACTCAACAATTCATTTGCTTGCATGGAATTCTTAAATAATCACCCAGTTCATTATAAGTAGCTTAGGTATATTTGGAAACATCATCATTCATTTTTAAAACCCTTTTCTTTTTGGACAGAATATGACTTGATTTTTTGGATAGATTTTGGCTGTCAAACCCACCTGTAAATTGATCAGATCCAGGTTTTTCCCAATAAAAAATGCTCTTTACAAGTGCATTATCTATTTAGAAAAGTTCTCAGATGTTGAGGCTTTTGCAGGTGTGCTTAGCTTACAGCCTCTTTACAGAGCATGCTGACCCCAACAGTAGACTGCCAAAGAAAACAAGGTGATAAGTATTCCTGCTCGTTGAGCAAGAAGAAGGATCACACAAAGGTCTGCAAGCATCTAGTAATTTGCTTTAAGATAAGGATAGTAACGTGTTTAGAGAAGAACAAAAACAG